AGGGACTACATTTTTTTGTTTTAAGGACTAAAATTGGGCAGCAAAAAATAATGGGGACTCAGTCTGGATACCCCCTAAACATGGAGGACCAAAAGTGGACTTTGTCCAAAATTTTTTTTTTGGTACATGAAATGGAGGCAACTTAATTTTTTTAATATTATCAATATAATTAAATAATATCAATTGTAACGTATCAAATCAACTATGGTTCACTATTAATCAACTCACACAATTGTAACTAGTACTAGCACTGTCAAAACGGGTCATGGCCTGCGGGCTGGCCCGTCCGCCCGCCTAAATGGACGGGCTTGGGCCTTTGCTTGGCCAGCCCGTTTAATCGCGGGCCTATTTGGCCCGCCCGTTTGGTCCGCGGGCTGGGGCAGGTTGGACCGCGGGCCAGCCCTTTTTTTTTTAATGACAAGTATTGTATATTTGTATTCTTTTTTTTTTCTTGAATTTAATTGTATAATATAAATATGAAATAAAATGTAAATTTTTTTTATGACAAATATTGTATTCTTTTTTTTTCTTGAATTTAATTGTATAATATAAATATGAAATAAAATGTAAAGACATGAAGAATTTGAGCAAGGTGGAGATTTGATGGAGCTGACAAAACATTGGTCGTCCACTTTTAAATGTCCCAATCCAATCATTTTCCTTAATATAGCATAATAGCAACAACAATTATTGAAAATAGCCAATTATTAAATGATGGAAGTTTGTAATTTCATTTTGCATTTTACCACAATTCATTCACAACATATGGTCACCATCGAGATCAAAATGTCGTACAAGTAATTCTTATTCAATTCCCACTGTTTTTTTTTTTCCTTTTATAGTTTGAATTTAAAAACCAAAATGCATTATAAATTGCAAAAAAATAATAATAACAATAAAAAAAGTAAGTAAAAAAAAACACGGGCGGGCCGATTTGGCCTGCGGGCTAATGCGGTTGGGCTACGGGCCATGGATTTCTTAGCCCGCAGAAATGCTAGTCATCTTGGCCTGCCCCGATTGAACTGCGGGCCAGCGCGGACCGGACCGACCCGTTTGACAATGCTAACTAGTACGTACCTCGTGCCATGCACAGAACAGAGATATTAAATGAGTTATTTTCACAGCTTTTTCGATTTAAGTCTAAAAAGTAATAGGGTATTTTTTCCACATCTTTTAACCAACATTGTTTTTTTAGTCAGAACTTTAAATATGAGCATGTTTTTAATAACATCGATTAGTTTATTTGTTTCGATTGCATCTCTATTTCATTTTATTTCGTTGAACAGCTCAATCCAATCCATATTTTTATAAGCTAATATTTCAATGTGTTTTTTTTTAACAAGTGCCCTACAGTTATTATACACACTCTCACACACTAAAGTTAGCTTTTATCATTACATATTGAACATAAGCAATAAAAAATAATAAATAAATAAATAAATAAATGTAATAGAAAATTCTATAGCTAATTGTACTTGGAAATACAAGCAAGTGTAACACCAAAATTACAAACTCATCCTCAAAATTATTCAAACAAAATTGATCCCTAAAAGAAAATAGATTTGCAAGCTCGATTTTGTATAAGGAAAATAGATTCAAAAGATTTTAAATGTAAAATCTAGTTTTTAATCACAATAGAAAAATAATAGTAATGTATTGAAAAAGTACTATGAGATATGCATTAAATACATTTGACTTTTCTTACCACTAATTATAGTAAACTAGTACAGAGCTCGTGCGATGCACGGGGTGCACAGTTTTAAGGTTATTTATTCAGTCTTATAATTATATAAATAAATGAAAAAATGTATGGGATATATATAGTACGAGACCGGTGCGAGACACGGGATATATTTACTTAGGGAATATTATATTATAAAATATAATATTCAATAAAAGTTTTATAGTACGCAGGAAAATTATACAATGAAATAGTATATGACAAAAGAAAATTATATATTATTAAAGACCTCATTGTACATAGATATTAAATAATTTATTAGTAAAATAGTGTATAAGTTGATTATAATAACAAAACAACATGCTCACGGGATTAGTAAAAATATTCATAAATTGAAGATTTAATGGGATTAAACAATTAAATTAATTAACTTAGATAATTCAAAAGCCTTCCAACATTGTTTTGACTTTAATATATTACAACATGTGTATACTTTAAATATATTAATATTTAAGAAACTTTAAACATCATAATTTTAAAAAAATATATATTTTAGGGAAATTTAAACAGCATATTTACGTCACTCATAAAACATATTATATTTCAACATCATAGTTATAGTATTATTTAAAGAACTATTCAAACAACGTGATTTCAAAATTGACTCAGATCCAGCAACCCCATTCAATATTTCATATAAATAAATAAATATTAAATAAAATGTTTTAAACAGAATTAGATAAGGAATTTTAAATCTGCCTTTTTTTTAGTATAAATAGGCTTTACGTACATTTTTTGACTTCACCGATTATGGAATTTGTTTTGACTAAATCGATGTTATTATGGAATAAGACAAATAAATAAAGTCTTTTTTATTTTAGTAAAGATTTTACGTACTTTTTTTGACTTATCGGATGTTATGGATTTTTTTTTTTCTTAAGCCGATTTTTATTTTAGTAAAATTTTTAAAGAATAACTAATATAATTTTATTATCTAACCATCAATAAAATCATTTAATGATGTGATCATTATCTTTTAAATGATAAATAATATT